ACACAGGGCAAACCTTCTCTTTCCCCCAGCTCCCATGCTTGTGATCTGGGAGGTGCAGTGAACTCTAATGCATGCAGAACTGAGGCAGGAGCAAGAAGTCCCCTCAAAGAAGATGTGCTTTCCAGAAGAAAGGACACAGATTGAGCAGTGACCCAGTTCATTTCTAATAAGACATTAATTAGGCTAAGAGTTTCGATCAGACATGAGTTTTAGCCTTCTTTTTCTAGCTTGGCCAGGTTATTGGGAAAACTTAAATTTTTGTTATGGGAGGAAATACATAATATTATTTTAAAAATCTAAAATGTATGTCAACCTTGACCTAGAGTCATTACAACAACAAACAAGAAAGTCCTGAAGGAAATGAAACAATCCTTGGGTTCAAATGCCGTTTTTTCTTATAAGGATCATATCATCTAGTTTTTCTCAGAATTGTATATAATTGCTTTTGCCTCCATGACTGTTGTGTGCTCATGTATGTGTGTATACACAGTATCTGATGGCAGCTAGGCTGATATAATACAGAGTCAAATGGCATGGTGGCTAAAAGGCATTAGCTTTGAAATCAACAAGCTCAAGGGCAAATTCTGGCTCTGCTATTTATTAACTATCTGGTACAATCATCAGTTGAAGCCTAGTTTCCTATCCATCTGGGGGTAAAAGTACTTATTTTATAAGCTTTGCTATTTCTTAGGAAAAAAATATGTTAATAGATGTTCTGTCACCAAAGTGCCTTAGAATATTGGTGCAAATGTTATTTGTCAACGTTTATCACTATTTTAATAGACTGTATTAGTTGGGATTCTCCAAAGGGACAAAACTAATAGGATAGATGTATATATGAAGGGGAGTTTATTAAGGAGTATTGACTTACACAATTACAAGATGAAGTCCCACAATAGGTCTGCAAGCAGGAAGCCAGTCCAAGTCCCAATACCTCAAAAGTAGGGAAGCCAATAATGTAGCCTTCAGTCTGCGGCTGAAGGCCCCAGAGCCCCTGGCAAATCACTGGTGTAAGTCCAAGTGTCCAAAAGCTGAAGAACTTGGAGTCTGATGTTCCAGGGCAGGAAGCCTCCAGCATGGGAGAAAGATGGAGGCCAGAAGACTCAGCAGGTCTGTTCTTTCCATGCCTGCTTTCACACTGGCAGCTGATAAGACGGTGCCCACCCAGGCTGAGGGTGGGTCTGCCTCTCACAGTCCACTGACTCAAATGTTAATCTCCTTTGGCAACACCCTCACAAACACATCCAGTAACAATACTTTACATCCTTTAATCCAATCAAGTTGACACTCAATATTAACCATCACAACTTTGTCAGCTTGAACCCATCCACATCTCCTGAAATCATACATAATCTTCAAATAAAGACAATAATAAGGTCATAATTACACCTAATACAGTACAGCTATCCTTTGTACAACTGGAAGTGCACCAATCCCCAACCCAAATGCTATTACATAAAGTTAACAACACTTAAATGTTGATATGAAGTAAACAAATCTGACATCACATGATAAAGCAAAAAGAAAGGAAATAAAATGAATATATTTTCTTAGTACAAGTGTATATATGTGCAAACATGTTCTCAACAAAATAAGGAGGAAATACTCATGACAATTACAGTCCTCATTTCTGCAACTTGTCACATGGCTGAAGCTGCTATTGATGACTACCTTATTCCACTACCCCCATTCCTTATTCTCTTTGCCTTCAGCAAGAACTTCAGCAGGTCGTGGTTTCTTACCTGGTGGAGTGACCCAAACCTTCATTCCTGAAGTGTCTGAACCATTTGCAGTCCTGCCAGGATTGGGCTGTTGTAGTTTCCCACTGACATTAATCACAGGACATGGCAATACTAAGAGATACTCCAAGGGATCTCCTGTGTTCCACGCCTACTCTCCCTTACCTCCATTGTGTAGTAGTAGACTGATTTCATCTTGATAGTCCTAGTCAATCACCCTGGCCAATCTGTAACTCCCTTCTTAGCCTGTTGTATTAGTCTGTTGTTATGCTGCTAATAAAGACATACCTGAGACTGGGTAAGTCATAAAGGAAAGAGGTTTAATGAACTCACAATTCCACATGGTTGGGGAGGCTTCACAATCATGGTGGAAAGCAGAGGAGAAGCAAAGGCATGTTTTACATGGTGGCAGGCAAGAGAACTTGTGCAGAGAAACTCCCATTTATAAAACCATCAGATCTCATGAGACTTATTCACTACCATGAGAACAGTAGGGGGAAACCCCCCTCATGATTCAATTATCTCCACCTGACTCTGCCCTTGACATGTGGGGATTATTACAATTCAAGGTGAGATTTTGGTTAAGACACAGCCAAATCATATCATAGACTATACGGTTATATTTCATTCTTTACATCTATATTTCTTGGTGTGACTAAGCTAGAAGTTGCAAGAGTTTTATCAAAGGATATATCAGTTATTCTTAACATAAATATAAAAATAATTTAGACTGCAAGTTCCCACCCTTGCCCAGTCACACTTGCTTCTAGTGCTGATGACCCACTTTATAACTTTTAAATGGGTTAGAAAATCACTGTAAGGTTGGCTAATTTAGTATCCACTTTGAGATCTTTGTGAAACTACATCCAGAAACATGTTGATGACTTTCATTATGACTTCTAATTATTAGATAAGGATTTTGTTGCTTTGACTTAAGCAGTTTGTTATGGCTGGAGCACAGCATAAGAGTGATTGAACTATGCAGCACAGCAGCAATCATGGTTGAAAAGGTAGAGAGGAGCTTCTTCATGAAAGCTCACTTAAAAGAGCTCGCATGGTATCATAGGCACTGGGAACCCTTGAATGGTTGTGAACAGAAAAACTGGTATCTTTGAGAAATGTAAATGCAGGGGGAACAAAGTAGATGGACTATGAGAACATTGATCTGAATCAGTGGACTCTGAGTCTGGATTAAGGGACATAGAGTATAATGGGTAGGCTACTGAAAAATGGAGATAAATGACACTAAAGAACATTGCAACTAAGAAATGACAGTAGCCACAGGAGGTAGGTAATTCATTGATGGGTTACCAAGGTGTAGATGACCTGCTTAAACGTTTAGGATTTGTCTTAATTTTATTGATTGGGTGATTCCATAATGTTGATTCTGTTAACCAAAATAGACGCTCTAGGAGGTAAAGGAGATTTTTGTTGGGAGCGGTGGGAGGAGTTAGGGAGGATGATGAATGGAGTTTTGGAAACACTGAGGTTAAAGTGCCTATGGAGAAAACCAAAAGCTGGATATATTAATTTAGAGCTGAGAAAACATGGTAAATATAAAACACATTAATACTGTGTTGATGAAATGTAAGCCATACACTTAAGAAGAGGTTCTTTTTAAACCAAAGTCAAATGTAGGTTGTTTTATTGTAAATATCATCAAAATCCACAACAGCAGAAACATATTAATCATTTTGAAATTTAAAAATCCTTTAGAACTTGAGAAAGAGTATTAGAAATGCATTTATATCACATAGAAAGTCAGTAGCAAATACAAACTAGACAAGCAGGACATAGTTCTTTTCTGGCATGCCTGAATAATAAAAATATTTATCAATTAAAATGTCAATATCTGTCTTTCTGGAACACCTCCAAACCTGAGTCAACAAACATTCTTTTGGGATTGGTTCTGATTGGTGTAAGAAGAGAAATACAGCATTTTGTTTTTTTATTTTGTTTATCTAATCTCAGGGAAGGATAAACAAAGGGCAAAAGTGACAGAAAAAATTAGATGTCCTTGAATTTTTTTAGTGGTTGCTGTTGCATTTCATGTTTCATTTTTGTTAGATCATATACATTAGAAAAGAATGACAAAGTTTAGAGAAGAAATATGTACGTATATAGTATCAGAAATAATTTTCTTGTATTGACTCATTTAATATGGTTGTACTTATATTCAACCAGAAGGTCAACTCTTTTGCTATAAGGTTCTCACACTGCTAACAAGAAATGGCTTGTTTCCTGGTTGCAGGTCATGAACAGCACACAGTGTCCCTTCTAGGCACACTGGATTATTGATCACTGCACAGATGCAGGCTAATCAGAATTGCACCTGAAATCACTTGTGCAATTAGTGATGCAAGAGTGATCACAGGAATCAAGACTGGGAGCCAAGGGAAAGGAAAACAGGTGCACAAAGAAGCAGTTCAGATGGGAGACCGGGAAAGCTAAGGGGAAAACTGGGAAACAGAGTCTGGAAAACTCACAGATTGACTGATACCCAGGGGTAAGAGATGGGACTTTGATAGGAGTGGTGCCTATGAATTAGGGGAGGAAGGAAGAGGTGAGATCCTAATGTTGGTAAAAGTATAGAGACAAAGGGAGCCAACTAAGTGGCCAGAAAATAGAAATGGAAAGTAAAAATGAGACCTAATTCTTTAGTCAGGGAAGCAAAGCCACCAGGAAAACTTGAGAAAGAGTAAGAGAAAGAGAGGGAGAAAATACGAGATAACATTTTGATATTTTGATATACTAGAGAACAAAATATTATTCTCCAGCATAAAAAGAACAAAGTAAGAAATATGATCTATTGGATTCCTATTCACAATGAAAATTATCAAACAGTAAGTTGTCTCTTAGACAATGCTACTAGAAGTTACTTATGTAGTTGCCTTATTGTTCATTTAATTTCAGTTTAACTGAAGGGATTTTACCCTTTTCCTTCCTTCTACGTGGTCACTCTGCTGTTCAAAGAGTAAGCACCATTTGTTTAGGTAAACAATTGGTGTTGCAAATCCTTCCAATATACCATCTCAGAGGGCTGCTAATATGATGAACTGTACAAGGAACACAAAATTTTAGGTTGGCCGTTCTTGTGTATAGGGGTAACCTAAAGCTAGTAATTATACCCCACAAAAGAAAATAAATTCTTATGACCTCTTGGATCCCACCTGAAATATCTCATAATAAACAATCAAATAAATAACAAGCAAACAAAAGTAAACAGCAGCCTCCCCCAGTTGCAGTGACCTAAAATATTTCCTAATCTGAATTTCCTCTCAGGGCAGGAAACCCTTCCATAGGCTTCCTTGCAGTCTTCTGCGCTGGAGTGTGTCCCACTGACTTTGGTTGTCCATCTCCCTACGAGAAGGTAACATTCTGAAACTTAGTTTAAATACTACTGGGTCTTAGAATCTTTTGTAGGTAGTTGCTGAAACTTGAAGTTGAATAACACTTTGAAGTACTATGTTACACTGCATTATGAAAACCTTCATTTTGTAGCTGTCTCTTCATCTGCCCAACATGTCACACAAATATAGAAGAAACAGAATCTGCAATACCTAAGGGGAAAAAAGGAATCATTGGTCTATTTCCTCTTTAGATGCTTTTGAAATTGTAAAATAAAGCAATTTTTCATTTGGGTTCAGAAAGAGTTAGTACCTACTAAGAAAATAATGTAATACTTATCACAGCTTGTCCATGTAAACATGGTATCATCAAAGGCAGATATTAGAAGAGATTAGGCATATTAGAAGTATGCCTAATATTTTCATTTTAAGAAACTAAAATAATTTTAAAGATTTTAAAAATCGACAACAAAAACTACTTGTTAACTGAATAAATGTATGCATCTGGAATCTGTATTGAACTAATACATTATTTCTTAGAGGCAAAATAATTTAAGAAATTATTTTAAATGCAATTTCATAACTCAAATTCTAAAATTTGAATGTGGGTAAAACTTTAATAAATCACAAGTGTGCTATGCTTTCTTTACACACAAGAACACAGACTGCAACATCATGGCAAAAGCAATAACTAGCCTATCCGAAGACTGGTTTTTATTGTAACTTACCATATCTTCGAAATCTCTTGCAGCTATGAAATACTATCTGCCTTATACCATTGTTCATAAGAGTAATATGACATCATTGTAACTTTCAGGGCATATTCACTTTCAGGAAGAATTTCAAATCTTGTATGATCACTAACCAGGCATGCCCTTAAAGATTTATATTATGAAAGCAGGTGGAGAGCAGAAATGATCTCCACTCACCCTTAGTAGCTGAGGGATGGAGAAAGGCTGTGGTGAGGGATGTAGTTATAACTGAGGCAATTATAACCAATATTTGAATTATGTTATTTTAACACTCCTGTCAGAGGTTTGAAAGCAGTCACCCCTCAGCCCAAATCCAAGATCCACCACTGCTGCAGTCAGACATAATATATGCTTAGCAGCAAGAGTTCAACGATTAGCATCAGTAATTTTTTTTTTTTTTTTTTTTCTGAGACAGGGTTTTGTTCTGTTGCCCAGCTGGAGTGCAGAGACCTGATCTTGGCTCACTGCAACCTCCGTCTCCCAGGTTCAAGC